GGCTCAGCACATATGCATCCCGCACCACCCTGGATATTCCACCTGGAGATGAGGATAGCTCCGCTTACGGTGGTTCTTATGACCAGGTTCTCGCTCCAAACGACATGAATAGATTAATCAGTCACGTCACATCTGCGCCGGATGGAGAGGGTGAGGATGAAGAATTCATTGACTATGGTTCAAGCCACGAGAATGAGATACCGGCCGCTGATAAGGATGCTCTCAATATCACCGCACAATCTGCGAAGCTTCAGTTGGATCTTCTTGCAAATGTGGCTGCCTCGCTACAGGCCGAGAAATCCAAAAATCCGGAAATGACCATCGCGGATCCAGCCCTGGAACAGGCCCTTGGTGCCTATGAAGCTGCAGTCAACAGCCTCAAGGGTCTAGTGCAAAATCTGCTCAAGATCTCACGGGACCGAGACTCTTATTGGCAGTCTCGACTAAGTAGAGAGGAGGCCATTCGTCAGATGTGGGAAGAAAGCATGGCCCGTGTGGCTCGCGAGCACGAGGAGCTGCAATCCAAGATGGGCGAGTCTGAAGAGAAGCGGAAGCGGACCAAGCGGGCTCTGAAGGAAGCCCTGGAGAGCGCGACAGGCAGTAGCCGTTCTATCGCCGGTGGGACACCCCATTTTGCAACAGACAACCAGAATCTTGAGGCCAGCCAAACTGAAGCTGGGGTCACTGAGACGATAGATGAAGCAGATCAGCCTGCACAGCAATCATCCACGATACCCGCACTCAGCCGCAACCCATCGACATACTCCAAGCTCAGCAGTCTCTATGGTTCAGAGTCGGATGGAGAAGAATTCTTCGATGCTATTGATGCTGGTGAAATCGAGGTGGAGGACTTGAACACCGAGAAGGACAATATGGAACAACCTAAAGATGAAAGTGCTGAGCTTCGGGCTGTGAAGAGTACTATCATTGCACCCTCCTTCAAGGGTTATGAAGATCCCATTAGAGAGCGACTTAAGATGGATGCTGATGATCGGCCAAAGATCTCTTTATGGGTAAGCTGTGGTGTTTGCTTGTTCCTTTCTTCGGCAATGCTAACTACCGTTTAGAGTATCCTGAAATCTATGATTGGAAAGGACATGACGAAGATGACACTCCCGGTGTCCTTCAACGAACCAACTTCACTGCTTCAGCGAGTAGCTGAGGATCTTGAATATACTGACCTCCTTGATATCGCTGCTGGTCGGACCGATTCAATGGAACGCCTGGTATATGTCGCCTCGTACGCCGCAAGTGAGTATGCCTCGACCATCGGCCGTGTCGCAAAGCCTTTCAACCCCCTTCTGGGTGAAACTTTCGAGTATGTGCGCCCGGACAAGGGTTATCGATTCTTTGTGGAGCAAGTCAGCCACCACCCACCGATTGGAGCTGCGTGGGCCGAGTCACCTAAATGGGACTACTGGGTAAGTGCATCCGATTTCGTAACCCAATGTCTGTCCGCAGGGCTAACCAAAACTACGTATTCAGGGTGAATCCTCCCTCAAGTCCAAGTTCTACGGCAAGTCCTTCGACATCAACCTGCTGGGCACATGGTTCCTGAAGCTGCGACCCTCCACTGGCGGAGAAGAACTTTACACGTGGAAGAAGGTGACTTCGTCGGTCATCGGCATCATCACCGGTAACCCCACGGTGGACAACTACGGTCTGATGGAAATCAAGAACTGGACCACCGGCGAAGTTTGCTACCTTGACTTCAAGCCCCGAGGCTGGAAGGCCTCATCAGCCTACCAGGTGACAGGAAAGGTCGTCGACAGCGAAGGATCCCCCAAGTGGAGCATTGGTGGCCGCTGGAACGATAAGATCTACGCTCGCCATACCCCTGGCTTTGAGGCACCTGTCTCCGGCCAGGATCCTGAGTCTGCCAAGACCTTTTTGGTCTGGCAGGCTCATGCTCGTCCTACTGGTATACCTTTCAACCTGACTCCATTCGTCATCACGCTCAATGCTCTCCCCGAGTCCTTGAAGGAGTGGCTCCCTCCTACCGATACCAGACGGCGACCCGATCAGCGTGCTATGGAAGATGGTGAATATGATTTGGCTGCTGATGAGAAGCACCGTGTTGAAGAGAAGCAGCGTGCCAAGCGCAGAGAACGCGATACCAACGGCGAGGTCTACGCGCCCCAATGGTTCACCCGTGACATGTGTCCTGTTACTGGAGAGGAATTCTGGGCTCATAATGGAAAATACTGGGAGTCCAGAGATGCGCAGGATTGGAGTCGATCCGAAGATATCTTCTGAGAGGTACTTGGCTTGTTGTTTTGGCTTGGTTGCTTTGTACAAAACTCTCAATTGTCATAAATAAACGAATGAATTCTGGATAGCTTTCTGGTGGACATGCCCTCAACTGAGCAAGATCAGATAGTAAAGGGCATATCTTTAGGTAAAATCCACCTAATTTACACAATAAAACAGACAATTCAAAGCCCAAGTTCAAGGTATCTTCGTTTCATAGATGGTCTCAGTCACGTGTCGCCGCAAAAACATCCCCAGAGCTATCCCGTGGTCTGATCAGTTCCCCTCCACAACCAATTGACATCACAATGGCAGGATATACTTGTATCCAGTGCCTACAGGTTCTCCGTCAAGGAGTCCGGGCCTCAACCCCTCAGGCTCGCCTGCAGAGCCTCGCCACCGCGCGGAGAAGAAGCCCCATCTCTCCGTCTTTCATCCGCAGCTTTGGCTCGCAACGGAACAACCGATCGCTGGGCAGCGCCCCAGAGTCGCCCAAGCACAAACACAGCCAGTCCTGCTGTGCTCCCAAATCCTCGCCTTCGCCTCTCGCCCAGCGGGCAGCTCACACGGCAACCGGGTCCTCCGTTAACCCTCGGGCCGTCCTGAAACCCGACAACCTGTTCCACTCCTTCTCGAACTCGCCCTCGGCGGCAATCCGCAAACGCGCCGAGTTCATCAAGCAGAATGCTTTCTGCCCGCACCCAAGCCACCAGCAGACCCGCGCGGCCGTCTCGCCGCACGACCCCGAAGCCAGAAAAACCACCGACGATGCAAACCTGCCCCCGGCCCATTCGCACTTCGAGTGCCCCGACTGCGGTGTGCCAGTCTACTGCTCCGAGGGCCACTGGATGGACGACTTCGAGGCTCACCTCGAGATCTGTGACACGCTGCGCCAGATCAATGAGGATGACCACGACCTGAACTCCGGCCGCTTCTTCCCTGAATTCCATTACCCCGGTCCCCAGGATGATAACTTTGTTATCAACATGACTAACTGGGACACTTACCTATACACCCGTGAATTCGCGGCTATCAACGACGACCGCTCCATGCGTCAGGTTACCCGCATGCTAACCTACCCCCAGACAATCGGCAGTGTCCTGCACGAGCTTAGCCCGTACAGTGTTCGTTCCGGCGGACGGCTCACACCGGAGGGATTGAAAAGTCTTAGTGGTAAGTCCTGGTTCTATGCAGCATAATAGAGGACTGCTAGCAGTATTTCTACACAGCAAACTAATTCACTCCCCCCAGCCCTCCGCTACTCTCTCCACCCCCCTAAAGCCGGTGAAAGCATCGACGTCAAAGGTCTCCGCTTGAAGGCGCCCCCAGTACGAATCTTCATTCTCGGCGCCCGCGCAGAGTCCTCCCTCCCCCGCGACGTCTGGCTGCAGCTGCAGTACATGTACCCCCGCGCCCTGCTGCACCTCATCTTCATCGGGCCGGAGAGCATGGCGAATCGAGACGGAGAGTATCCGCTTCCCGAGCGCACACCTGAGAACCCCTTCGGCGGCATCGTCGAGGACAGACTCGGTGGCCAGATGAAGATCACTACCTACGTGGACTACTTCCACACTATGAACAAGGCGCAGTATTTCGGTCCCTTCGATCCTTACCTGGATTGCTTTATGCTCTTCCATCCTGGTCTGGGTCACCCGGCTAGCTCGCATGAGTGGGAGGAGACGCTGCCTCAGTTGCTTGAGACTAAGGTTCCTATCATCTGTACTGGGTATACCCAGTGGGATCTGGAGCGTGATATTAACTGGGTGGGTGAGAAGTGTCGTGGAGAATTTGATGTGCTCCTTGAGCCCGGGGAGAATATCTTCCGCAGTCTGCGGTGGGATCTGAATGATCAGGATCCTCATGATGTTTCTTGTGGAAACTGGGGATTGTGGGCCTTCCGAGGCAAGAGGTATGTGGTGTCGTTTGCTGAGTCGAGGGATGTTAGCTAACTTGCTCGACAGATACGAAGCTGCTTTCTCCAAAGAGTAGGCCAGTTCCAGCTCACCTTTCTGTACGATATTTTTTTTTCTAGTGCCCGTTCTTGGGGTAATTGTAGTAGATAAGATCAGTTTCAATCCTCTCCTAAGTTATTCACGATTATCGATGCGCTTGGTTCAGCCAGTTCTTTTGTCAAGCATAGGCAGTAGATGAAGCCATTAAGAAGCTATCATCGAGAAGCTAGAAATTCATACTATGTATGTAAATACCACACGCTCCGCTCATGAGTGAAAGATTACAGATTAAGCAAAGGTCAAATGTAGCCACAATGAAATGTATCAATTGCACAAAAAAGTAAAGCTCGTAAGTCTTACACTCGTCAAGTAACAGTAGTATGACATCCAAGAGCAAAGATGCAAGCATCAATGTGGAGAAAGAATCCAAAGTCAACCAAGACAGAAAGGAAGTAGCATTAAGGTCGGAAAATGCTTGGATGATATCAAAAGGGGAGTATCGAAGGGAAAAGGAAAGGGTATAAACATCAGAAAATAAACATCGGGAAACACGTCAAAACCACCGTAATCAGAAAGTAAGTAGGTTAAAAAAAGAACCAGTATGTTAGGAAGAAAGAATATGTAAAGAAGAAAATATCCCCAAAAGAAAACATGGGAAGGATCAAGTGGAGGCCATTCTAGATGGCCGAAGCAGTCCAGTATCAAGGTTGACACTGGATGCAATGCGACAAAAGTCGACACCAAGATCGGAGAGGTAGCTCAAACATTCACTCGTTCAAATGAGTCAGGAAATGGAGTTTAGATCATGAGAACACCAGCGATGGCGGCTGCACCGGCAGCCATGAAACCAGAGAGATGGATTGAAGCAGCACCGGCGGTAGCAGGGGCTGAAGGAGTAGCCGAGGCACTCTTACCGGTGGGGGTGCTGCTAGCCTTGATCAGGGGAGTAGAGGAGCTGGCAATGTGGCTCATAGAAGGGGTAGCACTGGAGGAAGGAGTGCTAGTGATGACAGGCGTCCAGGTCGAGGTCGAGGTTGGAGTGGGAGTCGGGGTGGACGACGGGGGAGCAGTGTATCCGGAGGGCACCAGAGTGATGGTCTTGGTGATACAGTCGGCTGAGGCAGACTCAGCGGCGAACGCGACGGGCGCGAGGGCCGAGAGGAAGAGGAGAGCCTTGGTGAACTGCATTGTTGATGTTTGGTTGAAAGTTGTTATGATATTGAGAACTGCGAATTGAGAATTGCGAATTGCGAATTGCAGAGAGCGATTCGAGTCAAAAGAGTGAATGCAGCTTATAAAAGAATGTAATAGCTGTGAGAACAAAAGAGTGACACTATTTAGAACAGGGGAAGATTGCAAGTTCAAGAGAGGGAAAAGGGAGAAAGGGAGTTCCAAGGCGCTTGTATCGTTTGTACGGGACAGGTACCAAGGCATCAAGGCACCAAGGTATTCAGGCATTCAATATTATTTAGTTACCCAATTGAAATATCATTCCTACCTACATAGTATACATCAATTCGTTATATTCATCAAACTCATTATAGATCAGAGTCTTTGCGATCTTTCCTTCTCTTCTGTTGAATGTCTTTCTCAAACTCATAATTACTTCAACCCTTTCCGAGACAACTAGTCCAATTTAGGAATATCCACCCGGCTCTACTTGTTAACTTCTATACAGTTTCAGGTCCAGTTTCAGGTTTCAGGTCCAATTCAATATGGTCTTCGCATTATCAGAAGCAAAGCGCTTATGGATATAAACAATACTGTTGTACAGGCCAAGGGCAAGTTCCCAAACCGGGGGTATCAAAGTCACAAGCAAACATCCATCCCAATCATCTTTTATCATAGCATTAGGGCTCATCGTCAACACAAACCAGGTGGAGCCATAATAACCCAGCAGTCAGAAAGCAAAAACAGCAGAAAGCAAAAGCACGGTTTTTCATTTAGAATCCCCAGACGGCGGCCACTACCACGGCAACTGTCACCCAGTACCCGCTAGCATGTAGGACCATCGCGACAGGCCCAGATGCCGAGGAGGTGCTACTTGAGCTTCCATCGGCGGCAGTGGTGCCATTGGCCAAGGTGCCGTTGATGTAGATGGTCTGAGTGCCGTTCACATCGACCACACGCACAAGACTGGAGTTCTTAGGCACGGTGCCGTTGAAAAGAGACTCGTAGTAGGTGCGGTTAGTGTTGCTGTCGCAGCCACACTCGGAGTACTCTTGGCACACACAGACAATGGGGAGCGACTCGTTCTTGTGGTCCTTGTCGTTGTAGTAGTTGTAGTGGTGGCTGTAGGGGTAGGCATAGGCGCTGTACAGCCAAAGACCCGGGAAGAAGCCCAGGGCAGCTCCACCGAGCACATAGGGGGCGATTCCTCCAGCGGACCGGGAGCCAGACTTGTAGGGAGTGCGCGCACCACCGGCATAGTAGTTTCCTCCACCGTAGGTTGCTCGAGTGCCAGAGCCACCACTAGTTGTACCACCAACATTGCTTGAACCACTGCGGCTGTTTCCACTGCTACCACTGGAGCCACTGGAGCCTGAGGAACCGGAGGAACCGGAGGAAGAACCGGTGCGGCCTCCACTGCTTCCTCCACTGCTTCCTCCACTGCTTCCTCCGCTGCTGGATGAACTGCCGGAGGAACCGCTGCCGCCTCGGCCTCCTCCACCGCCGCCACGCCGTTTCTCAAGGGTTATGACATCTGTATCCTGGGTGAAATCCAGGGGGTCCAGGGGGACCACATCTCGTTCAATGAGATCGGTAAGCTCTGTGTGAGGGATGGTCAGGGCCATGACCCTAGAGAGTAGAAGGAGCGTTGTCGCCCAAGTGAACTTCATAGTGAGTATGAGTATTTAGTAATAGAATAGAAGGATAGAGTAGAGCAATATGGCAATAGAAGATGTCAGGGTGAAATCAAAGCGAAGCGAAGTAGTGGAAGTAACGGTATGACGAAATTCTGATGAAAGTCGAAGAGATTGAGCTTTTTAGGAATCTCCCAGGGTCATAAAAAGGGTTGAAAGTGTCCAGATGTAAGCAATTTCGAATATGAATGACAATAAAAATGACATAAAAATTCATCAAAGCCAAAATACTCAGCCTACCCTGAACTCCACCCCCCCCCCCTTTTAGTCAAAGAGCGAATACGAAGGGATTGACTATGTTGTATATTCCAAGGCTAGCGGAGTATATAAGCACTGCCACGATCTCTCATTTCTCATTTCTATTGATTCTAGAAAACTTCCAAAGTTGTAAACCATGTAAATCATTTAGGGGCCAAGATAACATGCGCATATGTATCTGTATATGTATATGTATATGTATATGTACATTGTAGATCTCTGTTTCTTATGACCTTTATACAGACTGTCGTATACTTCGTATTGCCCGCGCACTATATACTATATATTACTATACTTTATTCATACTCCAATCCCTACGTCAATCTACGCCCTGTACTCCGTAATCCGCATAGAATGAGCCTTGCTCCAAGCCCCAAAGTGTGTGAAACTCTTAGAAAGGTCCAGTGGGAATGCGCCTTGAAGTATCAAAGCACTTCGGCTAGTCTCTTGCTTTTTTTTTTTTTTTTTTTTTTTCTTTTTATAACAGGATGATTGGAACATTCTATTTCTAATAGAACTAGTTAATAGTCCATACCTAGTTATAACTAAGTATTCAGTTAATATATAACTAGTGATATAGTAATATAGTAATAGTGCGAGATCACCGGTCGGGCACCCAACAGCTTTCCCCCCCAAAGTCAAAGCTACCCTTCTCTTTCATATTCACCCACCCCAATAACTCATTTCCCTACCCTCATGGCACGTCAAAGAGGTCTTTCAAATGCCTCTTCCACTTCCTCGCTCCCAGACCAGGTACGTCAATCTCCCCCCAAACCCCAAGAGACCGCTAATACAATCATAGGAACTGGGAAGCATGTATGATTACCTCGCCAAAGTCATCCTCCTAGGACCAAGCGGTGCTGGAAAGTGAGTACCAATATCAATACCGAGGTACCTAGGTATTGTTACATACAAGCTTAGATCATCTGCTGACATCGAATCCTTGGATCCTTGAATTACAGGTCTTGTGTACTACACCGCTTCGTGAAAGATGAATGTACAATCACCCTCCAATCCTCACTCTATCTCTCTCATGCTGACATATCCTTCCTCCAGGGCGAGTACTCTCCTCCCAGACCATCGGCGTGGAATTCGCCTCGCGTATCGTGAAACTCGGCACGGGTTCACGCCGGAGACGCATCAAACTCCAGCTCTGGGATACCGCAGGCACAGAACGCTTTCGATCGGTTTCAAGATCATACTATCGCGGCGCAGCAGGTGCAATACTCATCTATGATGTTGCTTCCTACGCTTCCTTCGCCTCCCTCCCGACCTTCCTCATGGACGCCCGCGCCCTCGCTTCCCCAAACCTGTCCGTCATCCTAGCCGGCAATAAAGCTGACCTGACCTCCGACCCCCAGTCCGATTTCGAAGATAACTCCCGCCCGCCTCCGACCCCGTCTAGTACGTCCAGCAGACAGTCTTCTATCCCCTGGGATGTGAATGGGTCGATTCGCTCTACCAGCCTGATGGGGACGGGGACTAGATTGACGGCTACTCGTGCCTCGGAAGGCAGAGAGGTTAGCTCCGAGGAGACATCCCACTGGGCTGCTAAATCGAATATACCTGTCGCTGTGGAGATCTCGGCTTTGACGGGGGATGGCGTGGAGGAAGTCTTTAATCGGCTGGCGCGGATCATCTTGACCAAAATCGAGCTCGGTGAGATCGACCCCGATGACCCGCAGAGTGGCATCCAGTACGGGGATGGCGGTTTATATGGTGGCAGCGACGCTTCGAGTATCAGAAGTCGAGCGACATTGGACGATAACTCCGTGCCTCTGCAGCGCAGGAGCCGTCGAAAAGGCAAAGCTCCTGGCACACCTAACTGGAAGAGCGGGATGAGGGAATGGGAGGATGTTTTCCGCTTGGGCTCTGGAAATCGCCCAAATCAAGGGTGTTGTTAGTATTGTTGTATCATCCTGGGTACATTTGTTTCTTTTGCCTGTTCTGATTTGGTCTTTCGTTTTACTACACTGCACGATACCCCCCTCGTTGACCTTGATCATTTCTTACATGTTACTGTATTTACCTAACAGCTCAGACCTCAAGAGTTATTGCACGTCAACTTTTGATTCATCTCTCGTTTAAAATTTGCTATATATATATATATATATATATATAAAAAAAAGAAGGAAAGAAAACCAACGCCCCGTTTATCCCCAGTGTTTCGTTTCTATAACGGAATTCACACATCAATACCGGCAATCAAAGTCTTAATGCCCTTGGCAGCCTTGACTTCAATAAAGGCCTGCTCAGCTTGCTCAAACTTGACCGTGCCGGTTATCAACTTCTTAACATCAACCTTGCCGGATGAAACCAGCCCAACGGCAAGCTTGTAGTCTCCGCTACCGTACCGGAAGCTACCCTTGATGGTCAGCTCCTTGGAGCAAGCCGCCATGATAGGGAACTGGATCTCGCTGCGGCCCATGCCACCCTGCACGTATGTGCCTCCGTTGCGCAGGACATGGATGCCCGTGTGCACGGAAGGCTCAGCGCCCGAAGCATCAATCGCCACATCGGCGCCAGTGCCGAGCCCATTCTCTTCTCTCAGGCGCTCGGCGTTCTCAGTGGCCGCAACCTTGCTGGGCATGAATGTCGACGTAGTGGCGTAGTCCTTGGCAAAGTCCAGACGCTGCTGCTGGATATCCACGGCGATGACCTTGGAGGCGCCGAACGCAGTCGCCACAGCGCAGCACAGCAAGCCCACGGGGCCGGCACCGAATACCACCACCGACTGGCCCGGGCTGACGTTGGCTTGGCGCACGATGTGCACTGCAACACTGAGGGGCTCCATGAGTGCTCCCTCTTGTAGGGAGATGTGTTCGGGGAGCTTGTAGCAGAAGTCCTCGGGGAGAGTATAGTACTTGGCGAGGGTGCCATCATAGGGCGGGGTCGCGGCGAAGCGCATGTCCTCGCACAGGTTGTACTTTCCAGCCTTGCAGGGCTCGCATCGGCGGCAGGAGATGCCGGGCTCCATAGCGACCCGGTCACCTACCTTTAGGGTTTTGACCGCTGATCCGACTTGGCTGACGATGCCTGCTGACTCGTGTCCAAGGACCATGGGGTCTTTCACAACGAATGAACCGATCGAGCCGTGTTCCCAGTAGTGCACCTATGGCGGGGATTGATTAGTCTGGGTCATAACTGTTTCCGGGCATGGTACGTACATCACTGCCGCAGATACCGGTGTACTTGACGTTGATAATCACATCGTGAGGGCTCTTCAGCTCGGGAACTGGGCGGTCTTCAAACTTGACCTTATGGATGCCCTGAAGGACGAATGAAAGGTTCTACATGCTTGTCAGACTCGTGTCATTTTCAACGTTGAGTTGAATCCTACCTGAGCTGCGGCCATTGTATGTTTAGAGGGGGCGATAGGAATTGCGGGGAAATTGGTAATAATGCGAGGGGATGGAGAGGATAGTAGAGGATAGTAGAGGATAGCAGAGGATAGTAGAGGATAGTAGAGAAAGAGAGAAAAAGAGAAAATACTGAGCGAGACTAGTGAATCTTTGAATATATATATATATATATATATAAGAGAATTCTGGAAAAGGAAAAAGGATGACCGGGAGAATCCAGTTTGAATTGAACCGAAGAGCTCCCCGCAGGTAGGCAAGTTCCACTTTGGGTGTGGAGCTGTCTTTTTTAGCCGCGATGATATTAACCGGACCCTTTACTCTTTTCTTCGGATCTTTTCTTCGGATTATCTTTCCTCTGTGAAGTCACAATCGGTAATAATAGAAGGCATGTGACCTACCACTTTTGATCAAGTGACGTATGATTTCCTATATAGGATAAAAATATATAGTACTCGGATATATATAGGATAAGATTGAGAATATATAGTCATATACTATTATAGTTATGCTTATATACTTATATACCTATATCCTATTATATGGTGTCTCTAGAGATCCCTTCACTGCTGTAAAAAAAAAAAAAAAAAAAAAAAGGCCCAGATGCCAAGACCCCGGAACTCGGTCCGTCCTCCACCTCTCACCTCTCTCTCGATCTCTCCGAGAGCTCCTGACAGCTCTGCTTGAGAGGTACACTTCTCCTACGTATTGCAATGGTCTTCAATGCTCTCGTTCTAGGGGCGCGTAGTCTCCGGACTCGACCATCACCCCGCCTCCTGCGCCATTTTGCATCCTCGGCTAAGCAAGCCAAGGAGAACCAATCATTCAAGAGTCAACTATACGAAAGCACCCAACAACGTCTGAAGCGCGAGCGTGCCGAACAAGAGAAATTCGCCCAGTATCAGACCCAGTCCCCCGCAGGTCGCTCTGCCGCCCTGGTCTTCGGTATGCGATGCCGAGATAATCTTGCTCTTTCCTCTGGATAGGTCATTGGCTAACTAAATCTGTAATTGCACTATAGCTTTGGTTTTCTTCTCAACTGGTGCTTATTACCTCGGATCTATCAAGCCCGCGGCTTTACCCTCCTCGTCTACGACCCCCCTCTCCGAGATCGAGGGTCCAAAACACAACGTCTCTCCTTCCAACCTCCAGGCAGCGTGGGCTGATTTCGTCGAAATTTTGGGCAAGGAAAATGTCTCGACTGCAACTGGCGACTTGGAATCGCATGCCGGATCCGATTGGTCCTCCTATTCGCAGAAAGAGGATGAGAAACCCTTCTTGATTCTCTACCCGTCAAGTACCGAGGAGGTCTCGCGCATCATGAAGGTCTGCCACCAGCGCGTTATCCCCGTCACCCCG